CGTAGTAGTATAAACTTAGTAGTCTTCTTCTAGAATTTAGCTATTACTATAGAATTAAACTTTACGTTTTCTATTATATCTTTTATCTTAATATCTCTATTCTTATCTATAGTATTCTAGTTATCGTCGTTTAAGAATAGAATAGTTTAAGCAGTAGTATTAGAATTAATAGCCGCCTCTAAAAGGTTAAAGTTAACGCTAATATTATGCATACGCTATATAAGTACGTAGAAGGTTTATTAAGATAGGTATTTATTACTAGAATTTCTAGACTTTACTTACTAGATCTAGTACTTACTAGTAGAGAACCTATAGAATATTAGTTATATAGTCTAATATATAGACTAATACCTATAAGTACTTACCTATAATTAATAGTAACGTTCTTAGACTATACTTTAAGCTCTTTTATAAGCTAGTCTTTCTTAGCCTTATTATTCTTCTTATCTATCTTCTATTAAACTACTAGTATAAACTTCTCTTTCTAGAAGTCTAAGTAGTACTTATTAGTAGTATTCTTATCTAGTAGTACTTAGAACTCTTCGCCTTATTTCTTTTTATATATTTATTAGTTCTTAATAGTATTATAGTTTATAGACAACTCTTTCTCTTTCTTTTATAATTTTTAAGGCGCTATATTATAATTAGCGTAATAGTCTACGTATTAGTCTATAAGAGCTAAAAAAAAAGAGTATTAGTATAAAAAAGAGTATTAGTATAATATTTAATAAAAGTTATAGATTTTCTAGTTTATAATACTTATAAGTTAAAAATTTTATTTATTTATAGGTAGGTAAGAGAATTTTATAGCTTACGCTATAGAAGTAGAGTAATAACGTTATACTTATATAATTACGTAATTTTTAGCGCGCTACCTTTACCTTAACTTTTTAATCTCTAAAAATTTTCTTCTTTCTTATACTATACTTTCTTGCTACTCTACTTAGTAAATTTTGCGCGTAGAGTAATATTTTAGCTGTTATAGACTAATACGCTTAACTAATACCTTTTTTTACTTTCTATTCTACTATTTTATAAGTACTTAAGTTTCTTTTTACTCTTATTATTATTTTTTTATTATAACTTTTTAATTTAACTTTTCTTATTACGCTTATTATTACTATTCTAACACGTTTACCTATATATTAGGTTTTCGTTCTACGTTATTATAATATAGAAAAGCTAAGCGTTAAGAAGCCTTATCTAAAGCTCTAGATACGCCTTAACCTCTGCTAACCTTGTTAGAAAATCTAGTCTAAGTCTTTTATACTCTCTTCTACACTAGAGAGTTCTACTAGGTTAAATATTTTAGCTTTATAGTTTTAAATAGAGAATTCTAATCTGCTAGCTACTTTTTCTATACTATCTTCTAGTCTACGTTCTCTACTATCTTCTAGTTTACGTTCTTTGCTATCTTCTAGTTTACGTTGTCTATCTACTTCTCTACCTAATTCTACTTTACTATCTAGACTTACTCTACTAGTTACTTCTGCTAAGTAAGCTTTTACCTCTCTAATTAATAGTTTTGCTAGGCCTACTCTATTAGCTACTATAACTTCTTTAACTATCTATTATAATCTAGCTAGACCTACGCGTAGAGGTATAGCTTATACTTATAGTAGTTATAGTAATAGTAGCTCTTATAGTACTATTACTACTAAGATACTAAGAAAGAAACCTACTTAGGTAAACACTAGTTAGTTAGGTATTAGTCTACGTATTAGGCCTTACTAACTATTTTTAGCTCTTAGAGGCAAGAATAGAAAGACTTAGAAGACGTTAAAGTAAAAGAAGACTTATAAGGCTAATATAAGTACTAGTGTTTAGAAGATAATTAGCTATAATATTAAAGTACTCTATACTTAAATTTATTATAGAGCTACGTCTAGAGAACCTAAGATACGCCGCGTAGAGCCTAGTAGTAAGTACCTATATTATTATTTTTCTAAATTCTATATATAATTTACTAATATATTAAAGTATAGACTCTTTAGAAGATTAAGTACTACTAAAGAATAGTTAGTACTCTTACGCTTATAATACTATTCTACTACCTTTACTATAAAATTAGTACTAAGTATAAGACTAATATACGCTAGCAGGCTAATATACTTAGTATTCTCTAGATACTAACTAAGAACTTCTTATATACTCTTCTATAAAGTATATATTCTATTATACGTATTAGTTTATATATTAGTCTAATCTACTTATAGCTACTAATCTTATCTATATTTATAGAAAGCGTATTACTCTTTAGGCTAGAGATATTAAGCTTGTTCTACGCGTTATATTTAATTTAGGTAGTTAGTTTAATTTTATTAATAATAACTATAATAAGTTGTCTATAGGTTAGATCTATAGCTACTTAGGCTAGAGTTAGAGTAGCAAGTATTATAGCTTAGAGTTAGAGTTTAGTTTCTTAAACGTTCTACTTATAGAACCTTTTAGGTATATAGCTCTATTAGCTTTATAGTAAAATATAAGAGCTTATCTACTAAATCTTTTTTTTTATATAATCTACTTACTACGCCTTCTAAATATTTATAAATAATTAGCTCTATATATTATAATTAGCTAGACTTATATACTATTAGTAAGAAGTTTTCTCTATTACTATTATTACTAATTACTTGCTATAGTTCTTATTAGAGTCTTAGTAGTTTTATAGTTTTCTAGAGTATAAGATAAGACTAGACTATATATAATAGTATTATAGTTCTTAGTTTCTTTCTAGAACTCTAGTATAGTGCTAAGAATACTATTATAAGATAGTAGAGTCTTATAAAAGAATAGTATAAACTATTATAGAGTAAATATAGAGGTAATTAACTATGTTATACTATAAGAAGTAGAAGGCTTAGCAAGCTACAGGAGATATCTTATGTGGGTGCCAAGGCGCTAGTCGCGGACTCACGTGAGTAGCGCCTAGACCCGAACTCGTATTAGTGCCGTGACAGGACGCCTGCTAGCGGCAGGCCTAAAAGAACGCTAACGAGCAGCTACAACAAGCCTAAAAGGATAAGGAGATAAAGCTTAAGGAGCAGAAGAAGCTAGAGAAAGCTGCTATGCTTAAAGAAAGGCGCCGCATGAAGCAGGTAGCGAAGGAAATACGCCTCTAAGAACAGCGCACGAAGGCTGCGGCACGTGAGGAAGCTAGGATCGCGCGCGAAGTCGAAAAACAACTTAGGAAGGATATACAATTGTCCTAAAAGGGTAATAGGCGTCGCCTTAAGGCTCCTGCACCTCCTGCCGATGTATTTGAGGATACTGAGGTTGATGATGTGGATTTTTCATCCATCGTTGATGTGGTGCCCACACCGAGCGCGGCCACGCGCACCCGCAAGGTACGGCTCCCACAGAGGTATCGCACGTAGTTTATCGTTGCCAATCGATTTATCAAGCTTCTGCAAGTGCTACTCTAAAAAATCTAGTGATTTTACGATATATATAGAGCTCTGCAGCTTCAAAAGTTGTGGGTGGAGGCATCCGAAAATCGTGCGTCAGGTGGGGACGTGCGCCAGGTGGGGAAACCCAGTAAACTCCTTCGTTGCCTACATGAAGCTGACGGTGCAAATCATGGCTTTTGCCCACCGCGGAGTTTGCATTTCATCGCTCGGCTAGAATTAAATTTCTTTCACCTCCGGAACCTCGTCTTGCTCTCCCAACTTACACCCTCTATGCAGAAATGCGACTTATCCACCCAATTTAGAACGAACCGGCGATGCCTCAGGTGAATAACCCTCCTCACCGGCTTCGACAAAGCCCACTCTAGATACATGCAGAGCAGGAGACTGATGTGTCTCGACTGCATACCGGCCAGCGAGCCCTGCCAATTGACGACAATTTTCTTCGCATTGTAGTAATGCCGAGACGGCGGTGGGGGCAGCGGATTCTTGAAGATCTTTCTGCCCCAGCTCGATAGCGTTCTCTCCCTCGCCCATACTATTGAAAGAATCTGGCCGAACATGTGGTATGGGACGGGCACTCTTGTGGTGTCGACTAGCGGGCTTCCGTCGTCATGGATCTTGAGCGTGAGCGTGTCCGTGTAGATCCTGAACAGCGGAGAGATGTAGTCCGGGATATAGCTCGCCACTAAATGCTGGTATGCGGGCTGCAGGACAGCGCGAGGGACGCCAATGGCTAGTTCTCGGACGACTCCGTCTTTTACGGTAGCTGAGACCTGGAGCGGATGATTGGGGAATGTTTGCTTCCAATGGCCTACGACGAGCGAGATGATTGGCTGCGCGGGAGCTGACCCCATTTCCATCTTGACCTGGCGGCAGCTCAGGAGGAGGTGATCCCAAGTGGAGAGCGGCGTTTTTTCGGGTTCGTGAATCATGGAGGAAGCGAAGGCATATAGGTAGATCTGGTGCCTGATCTCCAGCGGCAGGCTGAGGAAGGCTGACTGTGGCTGTAGTTGGATCCGCCGTCTCAAGCCAAACACTTTGGCTAGGCGAGAGCCGATGCTTCGTGATGAGGAGTCCCGAGCGCGACGTGGTTCTTTTGGGGGATGTGGTCTGCAAAGGCTGAGCCCGCAAGCTGAGGGGAAGCGTTGGGGTACCTTGGGCGCCCCTGGACTGGTCTTGGAATCCATGGATTCTGCAAGCTGCTGTCCTGATTCCATGATTCTGGAAGGGATGTTGGGTAGAAAAATGTCGAAAATGAGAGAATGTATGGAGGATGCAGATAAGATGCAGACAGTGTCGAGGTGGTCGAGGCGGCGATGCCTAAAGCACGAGCCACATGTCGGAGAGTTTGAGGGTGCTGACCCCGCGCCAAGCTTCAGGTCACGGTGCTTCAAAGCTTGCTCTGCTGCCGGTTATGGTCATCCTCGATATCGGCGATACAGATGGTAGAGAACGCCTCGGGCGACTCTATTTTGATACGAAACAGGGGCATTGCCATCAACGGATCCAAAAGTGTTCCGCTGTGGGTGGGGCACAACCCCGAGTGGTTGTATGGCAGACCATTCTCTTCTCGGCGGCTCGGGCTTTCCATATGGCTGGATTGACAGCCAGGATTCGTACAAGCGCATGGGGAGTGCATTATTAGGAACCGAGGGGGTGAAGGAGTAGGTATGAGCGGAAGCTGGAAGAGCTAGGCCGTTGTTTGGAAGATTGGCCCAGGCGTTTCCCCCTGTCCGGACTAGTGCCCTTTTAGGCTTAAATATGCCGGCATTTCCAAACGCCGACGAAACAATCGAATCCTCGCGATTCTAGCAGCATCTAGTGCCCCCATATCTATTCTCCGACGTTCAACCCTGCTGTTATCCACGGATTGCTTGCAGGCTCTGTCTTGAATATTAGTTTTAATGGCTATCGACTCGGCCAGCCCGGCACGCGTCTGCATTCGCGCCTGTGTTACAGACGTGCTAGGCGATCCTCTCAACCGCACAACAACCTTAGGTCAAGAGTTTTGCCGCAAGATACTCAATCGGCAATTCCAATCGATGCCAGCTCTAGCGAGATACGATCATGGCCACATACCCCCCTCCTTCGATTCACTCAAACCAGTTTCTGTGTGGTTCGTCTTCGACTTGAACGTAACAAGCGAGCTTACCAAGGGACAACTCAACAACCTTCCGCACTACGTCTATCTCGCCAGTAGACAACGAGCCGGCGAGCTGTAAGTTTCCTATTTTATTTGTCGCTCAAGTACTGAACGTCTATGTTTAGGGAATTCATCTCGCGGGATGACTGGAGTGATATGGCTAAGGAAAGGGCAAAGATGTATACTTGGGGTGGGAGACAGGAGCAGGAGGAGCTGCGTGAAATGCGAAATCGCCAAGGTCGGCAGTAAAGGGCGTGAGGACTCGGCGGTGTTGTACGGGTTACCGTCGGCTTGGAAATCGGACCGGAGAATCAGAGTGACCTGGGCAGCCACGCAGGCACCCGGCCCGCGCCCCAAGATGCTGATGCCTATAATTCCGCCTCGCATCTCGACTTACGCCATCTCTACCTACTTGTCTTCTGCCCACCTCAGAGAAGGACTGGTATACCACCAACCACGATTTTGTGCTCCAACCGGCTCTCATTGCCTGCCTCTCAACTCGGCACGACCGCGAAAAGCTGTCTCCATCCACGCCAAGTGCCTCGTATGAGCGTCAGAAAGTCCTGAAACAGGGACGTGGCACATGCAGTTATCTGCGGGTTTGATCCTTCAATTATTGATTCGTCACTCACCAGCCAGGGTCCACATTTGGACTAGCTGTGCACGTGAGTGATGAACGATTGTTTTAAGTGGCGTGCCTCCGGGGAATTTAAATTTGATAACCTGCTCTCATGGCTTAGCAAAGCCTAGATTCTCCTCTCCCCTAATACCTTTCAACCTCGGAACGACACTCAGTTCATTCCTATCCTGTTCCATCAAGATGACTGAATCCACCGTCTACGACCTTGGCAACAAGAAATATATTTCACAAAAGACTCCTTCATCAAAAGCGAATATTATCCAGGCGAGAAACAACAAGATGGACGCCCGACATATCCTTGGAAATGGTCATCCCGGCGTCTCCAGAATGAAGCTGCTGCTCTGAGGCTCATCAAGGCACACACCTCCATCGCCGTTCCAGTCGTTTATTCCTGCAAACAGAATAACTGGGGCGTTACGAGCCTTGCAGTCCAGCGCATCAATGGGATTACCGCATCTGAGGTAGTGGATCAGTGCCGGATGCCGGAAGGGAAGTCTCATGTCGCTACTGGCAAATGCCTCGCATGCGAACAGATCGTCGCCGAAAATGTCAACTACTTCATTGAGGAAACCGTCATACCGTCACTGCAGAGACTCAAGTCCAGTTGGACTGGACTTGATGGGTTTGTCCTTCCATCGCCCCGCATTGAGCAACACGACCGCCGGGATTCATGGGCGCCGAAACAGTCTTCGGTTCCTGACGAATACGTCTTCTGCCATGGCGAACTCTCTCGAACCAACATCATGGTACATCCTACAACTTTGAAAGTCATTTCCATTGTCGATTGGGAAACGGCAGGATATTTCCCCGCCGAGCTTGAGCGTCCGCTCTGGCGGCTCAACTATGATGAATACATGCGGACTTTCGAAGACACTGCTAGGCTTGATCGGGAAATTGCGCTTATTACAGGGTAGGGGTGAGAGTAGAGAGTCAGCTCAAGATCTGAAAGGTAGCAAAGATGTCCACAGATGCCCGGGGCAGGGAATGGCATAGGAGGGTCGAGGCTTTAAGGGGAGACCTGCTCGCTGGTCGTTGATGATGAAATACCCCATCGTTCCTTTCTCTGTCCAATTTCCTTTTTGAAGTCCGTTTTCAGCACAACCACGGAACTTAGTCCTGGCCTCGCGGTACTCTAGTGTATGGTTCAAAAATGGCAGATGTGATTCTGAAAGTTCATCTTCTTTTTTCTCTCTGGCTTTTTGCTTCTCGAGCCTGGACTTATTTATCGCAATGTACGACTCCAAACTGTAAAAAACTAGAGGAATAGACCCGCGAAAGAAGTTGGTATCACTCCCTGGGAAATTCGTCTAGCAATTATACCTAACGTCATCCTCGTAGAGACCCCTTATCACCGACATTTATGCAACTGCATAGCCAGCTGCACTTGGTCGAAATCGCAACGTCCTACGCCATACAACTTCTTGCCTGCAACACCGTATGTACTCTTCTCGATTGCTCTGATCTTGCTAATATGAGTGATAATAGTCTTCATGCTCGCTTCGGCTCGTGTTCTTCGGGGGCTGGTTAAAATGGATACAATGCAGCCCGTTCCTTGTTTTCGTTGCTCCAATATCCTGCACCATCATCGGACATGCCCAATGGTAATACCGCTCTACACACGTCGCTCTGTATGCCTTTCTGATTAGACAGCAAGCCTCAAGACATGCTCTACGTATACGCATGGGTTCCTCCCTTCCTCGGGATAGCCCTTCTCGTATGTTCAGTCCCTCTGGGCTTGAATCTTCGTAAGCAGGAAAGACTCGTAAAAGTTAATCAAGCATACATCGACCAATTGAAATCCTCCATCGCCACGAACATATCAGCAGCACCTTTTCATATTGCTGGAACAAGTTTTTTTTCATACGCGTTTGCGTGAAACATAGTCCACAAAATATCCAAAAAAACCATCTGCGGAGATATTTCCTGGTACGTTTCGTGAGCCTGGGTTAGCAGTACGGACTCTGACATTTTTAGGCGGATTTGCTCTCCCAGTTTCTGTGCACTCTCGTTTTCGCGCACAGCACCATCACAAGCTTAGCGACCAAAGCTTTTCTCGTGATTCCCCCCCGCGGGAGCAGTTCTGCGGAGGGGGAAACGAACCTGGTCCACACAAATGGCAAACCCTGTTCTGCCATCAGAGACGAAGAATGTGCAGTGGAACTCGTATCGACTAAGAGCCAATCTGTACGAAAGTCTCAGGAGTCCATCTTCTCTGGTAAACGTATGAGCATCGAAATATCGGAACTTAGACACGTGTAAATAATAATGGGCTCGGCAGATAACGTCGTAATACGCACAATACTTCCTCAATCTATCCTATGTCACTGAAATTTCGTACTTTAGTTCATCCCACTCCCATGACGTATTCCCCTCCATCACCAGGAGACCTTTCCATGCTGACCCCTTGCACTTTCGCTCCGACCCATTCACCTTCACCGTTGCCAGGTGTCATTAGGCTGTCCAACAGCAAGCTAGCGCAACGAGCGCCTTCCGATTAAGAAGAAGACTGGTCGGACTCCAAGTTGGGAACATCCGTCATGGGGCTTGAAGCAGCAACGCCACTGCAATCTAACTGAGAGCCGTTGAGATAAGACGAAGCGCTATTTAGGCCGGTTTTCATCCATGTTTGGAAAGAGCAGGGAGTTAAGGATCGCTTGGCGTCTTCTTCGAACCAACTGTTTCGGCTCGTGTTGTGAACGAAAACATATTCGCCGATGTCGTTCATGTGATTCTTCCCACAGGGCTTTCGGCATTTACGAGGCCGGTCCACGGATTCTGCTAGCTGCTGTCCTGATTCCATGATTCTGGAAGGGAGACTGGGTAGACAAATCGCGAAAACGGTAGAAAGTGGATGGTGGATGCAGATGCAGATGCAGACGAAGGAAGAAATGAGCCAAGGTAGTGATGCCTAATGCACGAGCCACTGGGCGCTGACCCCGCACCAAACTTCAGCCTTACTGACTTGGCGTGCCTTGACGATACTCAAGGCCACATATGCCTCACGATCGACGGAGAACCTCTGATTTCGGGCCCAAGTTAAAGCCGGGCGTTATAAATGTCGTCGAGAGTGCTTTAAAGCTTACTCTACCGCTAGTTATAGTACACCTTCACCGGTCACCGAACATGGCACAAAGTCATAACCATCCCGCACGCCAAACATGGACTCATTCGCAGAGACCATCCGAAGCCGCGGGGTATCTGGTTGGTCTAGCTTCACCCGCTCTCCACTTCGCTCGCCCTCAGCAAGCACCTTCCCCTTCGCGCCCACCTTCCACCATATCACCCCAGCCATAGCTTCCCCAAGACCGACCTTGTACACGTGCCCGGCAAGAAAGCCGGCCCTGGGATCGATAACGGGAAAGAACTCTCCCAGTGCTTGCGCAGCGCTGGGCACAAAGGTGAACGTAACCTCGTACGGCGTTTTGGGGTTCGCTGGGATCTCGATGAAGGAATCCTTCGCTACCGTTGCGACGCGACACCCGCCTCGGGGATACTCCCGCAGCGCATCAACGAGTGGACGTTCGACAGTCTGCCCTGTAGCAGTGTCGGTGAAGACCAGGCCGTTCCGCTCCAGAGCGGGTGCACGTGGATGTAGTATTGTGTCTGGAGCGTACACAGTGAGAGGTTGGCCATAGGTGCCGACGACGTATGCGGAGAGGGTAATAGAGAACGGTTGATCGCTATTGATAAGGAGGATCTCGGAGGAAGGTTTGGAAAAGACGAAGATTTCCAGTGATGTGGCTTCCGTCATAGTGGGCGATGATGGGAGCTCATGGTTAAAGAGCTGACTGACTTTCATAAGGAGGTCTCTCACGACGTTCATGTTGTGTCGAATTGAGGAGGAAATTTGATTGTGCAGGATCGGGTCAAGGGTACGTTTTATCTGCGTTTGTACCCCGTGTACGACAGTGACGTAATGTACCTAGGTAACTGACCCTCTCTTACAGGAAGCGCACATGTTCGTCTTCATTTGGAAGGTTAACTTCATTTTACTCGGTCACTTCCGTCGGATACCACGACTGCGCCTTTAGCCAATTTTCTACGTCGTTGTCCTTCGTTTTAGGTGAAGTGGTGGCACACGGTGGTCCCACAACAATGGCATCCGAGTAAACTGTGACCTAGTGAACAAGGGTATGAGAGGCCCCTGCTAGGCAATGGAATTATTGACTACAACAGTAAAGGCTCGTAACCACTGTGGCTTAAGTTACTAGAAGACTTAGGCATAAACATAAATAGCGGTCTATATCGTAGACAAAATGAGATTCACAGCCATTCGTGACTCCTACTCAGTCACGGAAACATTATGCATTCAAGACTTCTTTGCAAAGCCTTCGTGGTCCGCAGGCCTCGCCGGTACCCCCAGAAGACGTTAGCTGGACGCTTACAACGTACGAGGCCAGTGGCCGTGTCATAACCAAACCCATCCCGCGTCCTAACATCACCGATGCAGTCTTAGGCTATCACCGCATCTCGAAGCGCTTCGAATCTCAATACCTCCACTTCGATTTATCCGACCCAGTAGACAAGAGGCATGTGGATCAGCTCAAACAGGGATGGAAGGACGCTATCAGGATGGCGTCAATTGTGGTCAACGACTTGGACTTTGATGGTTTTATCTTCAGGGACTACTTTGCGCCAGAGCATAGTAACAGAGTGAAAGCTGTTTTTGAAAGCAAGTCCTACGTTCTCTTCCCTTTCTAGTCTACCTAGGTACCCTGACGCGCTAACTACTAAAACTAAAAGATATGTACGAGAACAACGAGAACGAAGGATCACCGTATCTAGGCTTCGTGTTCTGGTTGAAGAATGATTGGGGAGGTCGATGTGTCCCCGTGGGGCAAGAGACTCCTGATACAGACGTCGAGATTGCGTACCAGGTAAACGAAGTCGTATCTGACTCTCCCAGAAGCGTGGCGCACATGTGCGACCAAGGCTATTTGAGGCTAGCAGTCAGCGAAGTCCAGTGCGAAGCGTTGGGAGATACAGTGTCGACGCGCATGCAGGTCCTTGCAGGCATCCTAATACATGAGTGGACGTAAGTTATGTCCCCACCCCATACCCATCTTCCAAATGACAGATTCCTTTTACTAACCACTAGCAAGTCATTTCGACCGAATTGGCGCCGATGCTGTCGGTCACCACATCACGGATGCTGCAAATGGATACGGCCCCCTTGCAGTCCGCGCGCTTAACAACGAGAAGAAGCTCCTCAATGCCGACAATTATCACTGGCTGGCGCTGGAGGCTGCGGAAGATACTTCTCGGGACCGCGCGATAGCCGCGATACTGACGACCCAGGATGTGGTCAGGGCCACTGCACTATTCAGTAATGGTCCAGGAGGAGATCCAGTAATTGGTGTCACGGAGCTCAATTCTTGCGATTGAACCTTTGCTTTTATCTATTAGAAAAGTTGTTGGCTTTGTGAAGGTTCTTGCTTGTGAATTTACTATATCTGGCTTACTATACCCTATTGTTACCGAATATATAAGGCATCATAACTAAAGAGCAGAAGGATTGGACGATCCTTTTACCCAATAGTTATGAGCCCGGAAATTCCGCACGAAAATTTTCACGACGCTATCGCTACTCCGCGAGTCATACCACACCCCACGTTCGAACCCCGCATCAACCACCACAAGCCCAGAGGCATGACCCAGAGAGGCATGGCCCAGAGGTAGCTGGCCTAATAAGAGGCAGCTTTCCACTCGCAACAGCGACCTACAAGCTGGGGGGGTGTGTTACCGAATATATAAGGCATCATAACTAAAGAGCAGAAGGATTGGACGATCCTTTTACCCAATACCTATGTACTATTCTCATGGAGGCAAGTCGGACGTTTTGAGCTAATTATCTGAAACCTTGCGCTGACAGCTTCCTGGTCTGAACAAAATGGAGAGGATTCCCTATCGCAAGTATGACGCTAGGGTCAAGGACCAATCAACGACGCCCGTCGATATTTCCGTACGCGAATTGACGAGTGCCCGAGCACAACATCATGCCCAGGTAATCCTTCCCCTCAGGTCCCTATATATGAAGCCACATTTTCACACCTCGAAGACGTTGCTACAGATGCCAGTCGCCATGGATCACCTCGTAACAGTCGTCGTTGGGTACACAGCTTTCTGCGTTCTCTTTCTCGCGGTCTTCGTAAGTCATTCCCGGGGCTCTACTTTTTCACGCAGGCGTACTGAATTGAACGCGTAGGCCACTGTTAAAGGTGTCTACAACATCTTCCTGCATCCCCTGCGTCGCTATCCTGGCCCGAAGACGTGGACTGCAACACGCCTCACCTGGGCCTACTCAATGCAATCAGGACGCTTCCACGAACACCTCCACGAACTCCATCAGCGATACGGCCCGGTCGTTCGCATTGCACCAGGGGAGCTATCTTACATCGATCCCCGAGCGTGGAAAGATATCTACCAGCCTCACGCAGGCCATCAAGTGATACCGAAGGGTACTTGGATCAAAGTGCCTCCTGGAGAACCCCACAGCGTCGTCACTCTTGACGAAGCTGCACACACGCGCAACCGCCGTGCCCTCATGGGCGCCTTCACCGAGCATGCAATCCTCGAGCATGCGCCGATCCTAGAATCCCACGTCAGTCTCATGATGCACAAATTCAGGGAGCAAGCCACCTCGTCGCAGGGACGTGTTGCCGTCGTCGACATGGCCGCCTGGCTCAACTTCCTCACCTTCGACATCTCCGGCGCATTGTCCTTCGGCGAATCGTTCGACTCGGTCAAGAACGGGAAGGCCCATCCTTGGGTCGAGATATCCTGCTCGTTTGGCAAAGGCATCGCGCTCATGGCGTCGGTCAATTTCTTTTCGCCCCTCGACAAGCTCCTCGCGTACAACATTCCGAAGAAGGTGCTGCAGAAAATGGAGTACCACAAGCAATTGGTGCATCAGAAGTTCCTCCAGCGCATGGCTATGCCAAATAAGGGCAAGAGCCAGGACTACGTCGGCTCGATCCTGCAGTACAACGAGACTAAGGGCGAAGTCAAGATCCCCGTGGAAGAACTGGAGAACAACATGAACGTTCTCATATTTGCGGGAAGCGAGACTACTGGCACGGCTCTGGCTTCCATTATCAATGCGCTGCTGCGCTATCCGGAGGCTCTGCAGAAAGTTGTGGAAGAGATTAGAGGTGCATTTGGCAGCGAGGACCAGATAACCGTAAGCACCGTCGGTCACTTGGAGTACCTCACAGCCGTCATACAGGAGGGCATTCGCCTTGGACCGCCGGCAGCGGTCGCTCTTCCCCGGGTAATTCCTAAGAGTGGAGAGGTGATTTGCGATCAATGGGTTCCTGGCGGCGTAAGTCATCCCTGGCCGGTCCACCTTTCCCTCCATCCCACTAACTTCCCCTGCCAGACTTACGTATCCCTCAACCAATACCCCGCCTACCGCTCCCCAACCAACTTCACCCATCCCAACTCCTTCATCCCCGAGCGCTTCACTCCTTCCAACCCGTTCCCTTCAGACAACATCTCCGTGTTCGAGCCCTTCCTGGTGGGTCGCCACAAGTGCCTTGGCCAGAAGCTTGCTTGGGCGGAAATGCGGCTCACGCTTGCCAAGCTCTTGTTCTGCTTTGATATCGCTCCCGTGGAGGCATTGGGCGACTTTGGCGAGCAGAGAACGTATATTTTTTGGGAGAAGAAACCGCTGATGGTGGAGCTAAGGGAGAGGAATGGGTAGGGAGAGGGTGGGGGAGGAGGATGGTGGCGGTGCGATGTGAACATATCGGAGCCGGCGGGTCCTCAGCAGGTAATGCAGCGATCTAAGGAACAGTGAAAGCTTGAAGAGGCATTGAAGTAACCCGCTTTTGACGGTAGATAGATAGCACAAGTTAAGCCTTCAGTCCAGTCCAATGTCGAGGAGCTGAAACACACTGCCTGCACGATTCTTAGTCCGCCAGCTCTTCCAGCCGGCCGAGCAGCTCTTCCTGCTCGACTTCCTCCAGTTTCGGAAACTTCGTCTCCAGTCGCTGCATAGCAGCCCAAAACCTGTGTATGTTGTGTATTGCCCTAGCTGGGCCCTGTGCTGCTCCAGGTCCCGGAACGTGGTTATCATAGACCCGCTCCCAGCGGAATCTATCTGGGTCTGGCTCCTCGATTTGCGCGTGCTCCCGAAGCCCAGGGAGTTTCCGCGACTTAATCTCTGTTCCCGTCCTTGCTTTCCGTTTTCCCTCCTCCTTCCCTGTACGCAGTCAGCTTCGAATGGCTTTCAGTGTCCGTCGGTTTACTTACCGCCGCTTCTGGTCTCAGTGCCGGTCCGGTCCTCGCCCAGCGTGCTTCCGGGCGGCTCGTCATATTCGTATCTCTTTAATTGGAAGTTTCCGCGCTGCTGTATCTTCCCCAATAGGTCCATGATGACGAAGTTCTTGCCCTCGATAGGCCTCGGTCTGGATATCTTCGCCCTGTCCTGGAGATATTCGGCCCATACGGTGGAGGGCGGCAGGAGCGTGATTCCGTCGCCGAAGAAGTTGAGGCGTTCGAATACTTCCCCATGAATGTGACCGGCGAGGAGGTCGAGCATGTCTGAGTCGAAGCTCGTCCCCGCCTGGCGCAGATGGTCGTTGATGAGCATACCTAGAATGGGCACGAAGACCTGGGCAGCGGTTGCAACGCCGTCCAGGTAGTGCTCGGCGGTGTTGACAACGGAAAGCTGCTAGCTGATGGGCACGTTCAGAATGTCTTTTAGGGAGAACCGTTCGGGGCTCAGCGCGTGTGCGACTGAGGAGATCACCGTGTTGAAAGTGAAGAACGTCTCGTAGAACGCCCATAGGAGCATGTCGTCGCCGGAACTCCGGGGATCGAAAGCCGGGAACACGTTCGCTTCATGGCCTGGAAGGGAACTGTGACTTCCTGCGTCGTCGCAGTCATTCTGTCCGTTCTCAGAAACCTCTGCTCGAAGAGTTTCCCTTCCAGTTTCGGTTTCCGCTTCCTCGGAGCTGCTCCAACTGGATGATGCGGAATTGATGGAGATAGAGCACTCGTCTTCTTCAGCGACGATGTCCGCCATGGCGGCGAGGAAGATGGAGTAAGTGTTAGTTAGGAGAGATGGAGCAGTCAGTGTAGGAGAAATGTTAGTAGCTAAGAGAGGCCGAGAGTGGCCCGTGCTCTCATTCACTTCGTCTGCTCTTCCACTTGCATGCGATGGAGGGAGAGATATCGTAATAAAGGCGACGGGTTGAACGACAGTGAATATACGAAAAAAGGAATTAAACGTCCCCTGAGTAACATTTCGGGTCAAACAGCTGACGATTCGCGAATGGAAATGGATGACATGGCCTAGCCCCTGTAGCGGAGAACGAGACGTTGAGTGTGCGTCTCAAGCTCAACCGCTGATGATGGAGCTGCGTAGGGGCTTAGACAGGAAGAAGAAAAAGGTAGACCGCAACACGTGCGCACACAGGCACAGTACCACACGTCCAAGGCCCTTTGAAGCACCTCAGGCTCCTGTTCCACAGCACAAATTCCTCCTCTTTTACGATGAGGCTGGCGCTGGGCGGTATGTCACGGTAGTCGCACTAGCGATGTAGTCATTCAAAGGGTATCATATTCAAGGAGGTACCTGTATGAGGCGCACTCGCAGTCCCAAGCTCCACACCAGGCCAGTCATATCGCCGGTTGTCTAACCCTTCCGTCATACTGTGCATCCCAAGGCATACCCCATCATGCCGCCTCATTCCCAAGCCCTCCCCTCTCCACTCAACGCATCCCCATCCCCGGCCCCGCAGTAATCCTCTTGTTGCGCCTCCTGCGGACCAAGAGGGCAATGATGAGAAGCACGATAACGGCCACGATAATCGCGATGACGATGCCCGCAATCACGCCTCCCTTGATCTTGCTCTTGCCCTTCGTCTTACTCTTGCGCGCGATGAGGTGCATGAGCTCGGCGGCGGTGCTGGAATGAGTTAGCAGGCATATCGTGAGGAGAGGAAGAGTTGGCGAGCAGTTGCTTACTTGGGATCGCCGAGCGTGCGCATGATTAGCTCGGTGTTGATGAGGGGCGGCATTGTGGGCGGTGGTTGGGTGCTCGCGAATGGACGTTGGTGAGGTGGTGTTTCAGGTGGCGCTCGCAGTGGATGGGCGTATTGCAGCGGTCCTGTCGCTGGGGAAGTTGTCCGACGGTCGCAAGTTTAGTTTTGAGTGTGAGGTTATTCTCGTGAATTCTTTAGAAACCGGCGGGGCGGGCCTGCTGATATAGCTCTGAGGGTCTGTGTGATTTGGTGGAGGTGGCGCAGCACGAAACCCTGTTTGTTTCGGCGTTCGTCGAGGTGTCCTACGATGACCGCATCGTATCAAACAGCTGGCAAAATAAACGAACCCGGGCAGCAAGCTGAACTGCCTGGGTGAGTCTTCCGGCCACAAACGATGTTTGAACGAGATACGAGGGAACATGATTGGCCATCTCCAGCCGGCTGTGCATCCATATGTAACAATCAACGCTGGCAATGCTGGAAACCCTTGCAAGACGGGTGAATCCAGATTCGGAGTCAATAGCTTGTGTAGCGCAGCCTCGAAGTCTGTTTGGCTTTTGGCTTTGACTCAGAGAAGCTTGGTCTGCAAAATGGTACATGCAGGAGAGTAGTCCGCTCCTCGCGCGGCTCATTTAGAGGCCGCGCTGGGAACAGGAGATTCGAGATCTCCGCAGGATCAGGGGCGGGTTGTGGGTGCGGCTACATGCGAGCGGGGAATGGCACAGGTAACGCGGGTGGGAAAAAGACTGACACAAGGGATTCCATCGAAAATCGAGAACGAATAATGATATTATGGTCGCCATTGTTGCTCATAAGTTTTCTTCCAGGCTGCAAATGCCGGCAGCGCCCCAAACGCACCTAATCAACGCACACAGTGGTGGTATCGCTTCAATATCTTGTTCCTTCATGAACGGGAGCCCGTACTCCACGCTCAGTCGGCGCTCCAGTATCACACCTATGACGGAATGGCTTCATATCCACCCGCGTTATGAGACGCACGGTCCGAGAAGAGGTAGTAGATGATCATGCCGACGACGGGGAAGAGGAAGACAACCAGGCACCAGATGACCTTGTTCATGGGCGTGCGGTTCGACTGGAAAATCTCCACTGAAGGCGGAATACGTTAGCAAGTTCCTTTGAAGCTATATGGGACAGGTGTAGCAGACGCACCCCACGCAATGATATCGAGAACGAGGACAATGAATCCAACGATGCCGCCGCCGGTGGGGCCCTGCCACGAGGTGCCTTGGACGGTGACGGGCGCGGCCTCGGCGAGGAACGCCAGCGACAGCTGGAGGAGGGCAGCGATGGCGAGTTGGTACATGACGACGGCGGGTTTTCGGAGCCCCGGTTCGAGAAATTGTATTCGGTCGTGTTTTGCGGGAATGCGGGTGGGAGAGCGGATGGTGTTCTGTCGCGGGGCGGTTGCTGCCTGTTATACCTCGTGTGGCCCGTGCGCAGGAACGCCCAAGTACGTCACCGCCACGTAGCTTGCAGTACCTCCATCACTGCTTGCACACGGTAACCAACAACTCTCCAGGGCTATTCGTGCTCCTTGGCGGCAATGGATTGGATATGTCTTATCTCCGCTTCCTGCGCCCCTGTTTCGTCCCGAATCCTGCACTAGTCAGCCTCCAACCGGAACATTCGACTGTCGCGTGGTCAACGCTAGCCCCCCTCGAGCACACCACTGTCGTCGAGGTACACGGATATTTGGTGCCTCATTTCCTAGGTACGTTTTCAACTATCTTTCCACCCATCGCCTGTGTTAGCGTTCAAGGAGAATCAGCCCTGTGCCAGTCACGTGATTACCTCACGTGACGTCATGTACACCTGGGCACCTGGGCACCTGGGCAATATATGTTGCCCCCACAGTTGGTGCCTCAATCAACTCTTCAACCATCGATAAATCTGTACCCTCTTTCAAACGGCCTGAGCTTTACTACTCTGCCTACCTAGCACTTGGGCAGCCACTCAGAGATATGCACACTAATCCGTTCTAGAAGCACCCCGCTCTAAGGCCCCCATAGTCAGGTGATACTCACAGCAACCCTGGAATGCTCGTATACCTCATCGGAGCCCCGGTGGTCACCCAAGCACATATGTCTACAGCCGTGGTGCGAAATAGCATGGTTAATGTCGCTTGGCGAAGCAGCATCCGACCCCATCCGCTACTACAAACTCCACCTTGATGATGGCTTCCTTTCAGCAATTCGACCATGGCCCCCAACTTCACGATATCTCGGCGAAGCTTCCGCGCTGACCCGAGCAGCGCTTAGGTGGGTACCTAACGCCCTGGAAGATCCTCCCGATGCTAATGTGAGTACGGCCCCAGCAGCCAACGACGGTATAAATATAAGCAGCCAAGGGCGCAGTCCAGTGATGCCTATATTCACAACATTCATACCCAGTAGCTATGTCCGAAGTACCTCTTATCCCGCTTGTCATTGACAACAAGCCATTCGATGACCCGGACGCACAGGTCGCCCTCAACCATTCAGCCTTCCATGGCGGCAGTCCTTACACCAGATATGTGTCAGCCACCCCGGCATCCACAAAAGCTGCTGTAGAGTCATCGCTCCTTGCCTTCAAAACCTGGCCTCAGACCCTTCCATCGCAGCGGCGCCAGATTCTACAGAGAGCGGCTTCTCTTATCCGGGAGAATGCCGTCAAATTGATCCAGGTCCAGGTCGAGGAGACCAACTGCACCGAGTTTTGGGCACAGCGAAATGTCGCGTGGTCTGCTACACATATCGAAGAGATGGCCGGTCGCATCACCTCGGTGCTTAGCGGTGAACTTCCCGTCTTGGAGACCCCCGGTCAGACCGGCTTCGTCTACAAGGCGCCGATCGGCCCGGTCCTGAGTATCCCGCCGTGAGTGTGCGCCTGAATCTTTAGCGTCTCGATGATTGATTTTTACCAGATGGAACGCCGCTCTGTTCCTCGCTTGCCGGACGATCGACACGCCGTTGGCTGTGGGCTGTACCGTCCTTCTCAAAGCATCGGAGCAGTGTCCCCGCACTCACCATATGCTGGCTGGTCTCTTCCACAAAGCTGGTGTCCCAGAGGGCGTTCTCAATGTCATCCAAGCCCGTCGTGAAGATGCGGCTGCCGTGACGGAAGCTGCCATCAGCCATCCTGGTATTCGCAAGGTTGAGTTTATTGGCTCGGCCTCGGTTGGTCGTGTTATCGGATCACTTGCTTCCAAGTACTTGAAGCCCATTCTCATGGAGCTTGGTGGAAAGAGCCCTGGTATTGTCCTGGAAGACGCCGATCTGGAACTTGCGGCTAGATCACTCGTCGAAGGAGCCTTTCGTCACCATGGGCAAATCTGCTTCTCCACCGAAACAATCATTGTTCGGCGGGAGGTTGCGGACGCTTTCGTCGAGTGCGCAAAAAAGGTGGCTTCACAGTGGAAGACAGAGCCCGCGATTTCGGCTGCGGGGCCCCGAAGAGCCTTGGGGTTGGTCCAAGATGCGCTATCCAAGGGCGCCAAAATTCTCCTCGGCGAACCGAAGTTACTGAATGACTACTCCCTCACCCCGATCATCCTTAGCTCGGTTACTCCAGAGATGGAGATTGCCGATGAAGAGAGCTTTGGACCCATCGCCATTCTTAAAATCGTGGCTAGCGACGAAGAAGCTGTGAGCATTGCCAATTCAACAAGCTACGGCCTCGGTGCCGGTGTGTTCAGCAAGGACGTGGGTCGTGCATTTCGAATTGCGCGGCAAATCGAGGCCGGCCAGACGCATATCAACTGGCCATACGGGACTGGTGCGGATGAAGGTGCGTATCGTCATACTCTCCATGCGCTCCTCATGCTCCTGAGCTGACTGGCCGCTTTGTAGCAACACTAGGAGTGGGGCTTGCTAAGTCGAGCGGGTTCGGTAGGCAGAACGCCAATCACGGGCTGGAGGAGTTTTTAATTGTCAAGACCATCACCATCACTGATCCTGTGGCGCATTTTAAGACCCTTAGTGCGATGCAAGGCTGAATCCGTTCCTGCGCTCAAAATAGTCTCCTGTGTACGGACTTCTTCTCTGGGGTAAGCGTGACCGAAGGAACCTAGGCCATATCGCGGCTTATTACCCGTTTTGGCTCTCCGATAGCTCGGACCGAGAAAGCTTGTACCCCTCATCCGAATACAAAAGACGTCGAAGTTCTACCGTCACCTCTCTGATCTTCCCCTCCCGTTATCCCTTGGGCTACTAAAAATTATGACCAAGTTGATCTGCGTCATCGGAGCCACAGGCAATCAAGGAGGCTCCGTCGCCCGTCGCTTCGCTCAGGATCCGGACTACAAAGTCCGCGGAATTACGCGCAATCCCTCTTCTGAAGCCGCCCAAGCTCTGGTCTCTGAAGGCATCGATGTTGTCGCCGCCGACCTAGACGATCCGCCATCCCTCGCTGCCGCCTTCGAGGGGGCGAACCTAATCTTCAGCGTCACAAACTATTGGGAACCTTTCTTCCGCCCAGATTGCAGACAGAAAGCCGCTGAGCAGGGCATCTCGTGTCGCCGCTACGCATACGATGTCGAGTACCGCCAGGGGAAGAACATCGCAGATGCTGCGGCGACGGTTGTGGACTCGCTGGTCGAGAATGGCTTCTTGGTCTCGACGCTAATTCATGCGGGGAAGGCTAGCCGAGGGAAGTTTAAAGAGCTGTATCATTTCGATGCGAAGGCTGATATATTTCCGGAGTACGTGGAGGAGAAGTATCCTAAACTGGCGAAGAAGATGAGCTGTGTGCATACGGGGTATTTCATGACGAGCTACCGCATCCTGCCGGAATGCTACTTTGCAAAGCAAGCAGACGGCTCATTCCAAACACGCTTTGCCACCGTCCCCAACGAGCCCACCTTCCACCTCGACGTCAACACCGACACGGGCCCCTTCGTCTACGCCGTCGCCCAGATGCCACCGGGCAAGACTTACATGGCTTGCGGCACTATCTGTAGCTGGACCGACTTCAGCGCCACCTGGAGCCGCGTCACGGGCGTTCCTGCGTCTTACAAGCAGGTCACTCGAGAGGAGATGATGGAGGCGGTCCCGGATAGGATGCTTGCTGAGGAGACTACGGATATGTTTGAGTATACGAGTGAGCTTGGGTATGCGGGAGGGGCGGAAGTGCTGTTGGCGGAGGATCTTAGGAAGGTGAGTGTGGAGATTGCTATTGGGGTGGGTTCGAGATGGAGTGCTGACTTTGAGCATAGGCGGGGATTGAGTGTCCGATGACGAGTTTGGAGGACTGGATGAAGAAGCATGATTGGAGTGACGTGCTGAATAAGTAGGACCTTAGAGCGGGCTGAAAATGCCCTGGTAGATTGGGAAAGATAACTCAGGTGTGAAAATGCACTTGGTGCTTTTGGATACCGACTACCTTCCAGAAACTAGAGAGCGCTTCCAGAAACGAGCATATCTAATATCCGAAACTAAGCCGAAAAGAACTTTTGCTGCAGATATACAAAAATCATTGCCCAAAAGAGAGAGATTCCAGCTTTAGTTTCTGCGTGCCGAGTTTCCACCATATCAGCCGCAAAGGCCGTGATCCCCGCTCAGGCCACTTCCTGCCCCTGAGTATCCAGGCCCAATATACCTCCTAGCCGTTTTTGCCTTCCGCCTCCCGAAAAACCTCCCCCCAGGCCCTCATCGGCCGTCCAGTCTCACGACACTCTTACCACTCCAGCAATACAGCTTTCTCCATCGCCCTCCAGTCGTCATCGGGTATTACGAAGCCGGGCCCCTTGCCGCCCGGGTCCACTTCCTCATCAAGACCGTCCCCGCTCTCTTGGGAGGACAGCTCCAGTTTCTTCCTCCTCTTTTTGGCGCGATGCGCTTCTTCTGTGTCGGTGGCGCTGAAATCGTCCTCATCGGTGCTTTGTTTCCGCTTTTGGCCGACGTGGTTCTCCTGCAGCGGGATTTCGTTCTCGGAGGACATCTCTAAGGTAGAAGCATCTGACGAATCGTCGGTACGCGAGATCTCGTCTGAGGAATGTCCTTGCGTTCTTGGCTCTTGTCCGTCTTCCTCTTCATCCTCCACGCAGAAACTTGAAGCGAGGCTCGCTGAGTCAGTTGCAGGCTCCTCGGTTTTAACTCTGTCATCCTTCTCGGTTGCAGGCTCGGTTTGGACTCGTTCGTCCTCCTCAGTTTCAGGCTCGGTTTTAATTCCTTCGTCGTGCTCAGTTGCAGGCTTGGCTCCAACTCCATCATCCTCTATTATTCGATTGAACTCCTCAAGCTGTTCTGCAATCTCATCCGAAGGAACGAAATTCGAGTTCCCGCGGCGATACTCGCGGAAGATGTCCTCACAGTCGCTCTGAGAGAGGAAGGACTCCTTGAAGGGGCCGAAATCAAGTTTCTTCCGCTGGAACACACAGGCCGCGCACGCGATACCATTGAACACGTAGCGCCGGGCTTGTCTGGCCACGGCTGCGTAGTAGCCGGTGCGGGAATTGAGTTCCTGTTTGAAATTGTTACCGGATATATAAGGCGTTATAACTGAAAGAGCAGAAGGATTGGATCCTTTTGCTCCGGATAGAAATTCACGAGGGTGACGTTTGTAAGTTCGGAGAGTTGAGAGTTCTCGGGTTTCAGCGCGGTAGCTACGAAGCCCTGCACGATGGAAAGGTGGAAGAGCGTCGCTTTCAGGCAATATGCCAACGTGTTTCCGCTTTCTTCGAGGCGCTCCTTCTCCAAGGTAGCACTGGCGAGCTGGTGTTTCAGGTTCTGGTAGTCCTGCTTCAGGAGGTCATAGTCACGCTTGAGGGCGGCGCAGTTTCCGTCGGTATCGAGATTCCGCGGGCTGGCTGGGACCCTGAGCTGCTGGGGCTGGGAGTTTCCGGCCTTTGGAGTTGTCGACTTGGCCATGGTAGGTTATGGAGCGAGAGTTGGAGAAAGACCGGGGAGAGCGTTCGGGGAGGGGTGTATTAGAAAGAGTAGGAGTAGAAGAGGAGAATAGAGTAGGAGAGGAGAATAGAAAAGCAAAAGGGACGAGTGGAAAATATATTGCTAAGGGGGCTTTATAGTATTGCCGATAAAGACCGGTAGCGAGGCGCAGGAGATGAGGGGACTGGCCACCTAAGGTGGCGGGTCCCAATGGTCGCTGCTGAGCTTGGGGGAAGAGGTGGGTTGTTGAAGTAGGGATCGAGCTAGGAGGTGAGAAAAGAAAACCTTTCTGATATATGTTATAGGAGGTTGGACGTGAGTTAGCTAATGGCATTGTCAAACTAAAAGACTGGAACGTTATTGACGCGGGACGAAGTACGAGTGCTCCGAAGATTTTAGAGTATTGGAACACGGACATGGCAGAGATGCACGCGTTGTTATATGTGGCCTAGAATTTTAGTGCCTTTTGAATCGAGGATCTCGCAGAAGAGTCCACAGCTCATGCTCAGCCGGATGTATCTTCGCTCGGTCTTTTGCTGAGACTCCGTACGGTGTCTTAAGGTCAGGATCTGCCCCATGTTCTAACAGCCATCTGGCTTCTTCCACTCGTCCGTACACAATCGCGTACATGAGAGGCGATCCCCGCTGTCCGCGCCCGTCGTCACAAATCTTGATTGCATCATCCATCGCGTTGATATCAAGCCCCAACCCAACCAGATACTCTAGCATCGGTATGCGCTCACCAGGAGGGATGGGGACGTCCGCTCGCCCTCCAGCTGCACGGTGAAGAGGAATGGAGTTCGACAGGACTGCCCCGTGATCAAGCAGAAGCGAGAAGATCTCAGGTGTGCATCTGGCAGCTGCTTGGTTGAGTGTGACGCCTGAGTTGGAAATAACCCTAATTTGGTCAATGCGTGCGTTCGTGAAGTGTGGCGGTCCGAGATTGGGATTGGCTCCGCGCTCCAGAAGAAATCGGATTGCTGGCCCATCGTTGCGCGACACTACCATTCTAAGTAGAGGAGCAATTCAGCATCGTTCTCGCAAGCGCCTAGCTGCCGCATCAATACGCGTCACTGCGTAACAAGAGTTCCCTGATTACAAATTCGCAAATACGAGTCGTGTATGATATGCTGAACTGCCTGAGTACAGGATTCAGAGTGCATATCTAGATTGAATAGGAGACAGAATTGATGCGGCGTTTGGTGAGAGGGACGAGCCACTTACCGAAGTAGGGTATCTCCACCCAGCACCCCGGTGTTCACGTTGAACCCAAAATCGAATAGCAGCTTGATTGCACTAAACGAATTTGATGCAGACATTACTGTTTGGGCGTCCCATTGCACGCCGTTAAGTAGCAGCTGGCGTGCTGTCTGAAGGTGAAGGCAATCAAGGGCACGGTTAAGGCCGAATGTTAATGCAGCGGGTTCTTGATCGGATGCTAATTGTAAAGCAAGAGCAGTATTATTGTATTGACAGGCACTGAGAAATTCTCGGCATGTCGCATGTTCGGGATTTTGTATTAGGGGCCAATCCAGGAAAGGAGGCTCCTCAAGTGTCGGTAAACTTGACGGCATGTTGGCTAGGATTGGATGTTGAAAAACGAAGGGGAGTGTAAGAGTGATGGATCGGGAGAGCTGAAAGCTCGGATCATATACACTAGTACTAGCGCTGTCATGTGACCTCAACACTAACCAACCTTGGAATGCCAAAATAGTCGAGATCCGCGGATTACAAATTGATGTCCTAAAGAGAGCACCGAATTCATGAAACGTGTTCATTCATATTAGATATGAGAGGTGGCAATGTGGCGTAGGATATTGTTTCGTTTCGCACTGGGGCTGGGCGGAATCGCGCCAGTTCGGAAGTCCAGCCTGATTCGCAGCATTTTGGCCCCAAGGAAGCCAGATCAACCGCACAGGTTCTTGAAATCGGCCCGTGGAGAAGGATGACTCTTCTTTTCTGGTTGGAGGCAGGGCACCTGTTTCAATGGAAACATGTTTGCCGGATCCTCCTGGAGCCACCGCCGCAGGTGCATCGTCACACGCCGATGAGAACAGCTTGCAGGACGCGCAACGTTTCTAGCACGTGTATACAGCGTTGGAATCTAGCGCAAACATGATTCCGCACTTGATTCATCATTGTAAGTCCAACTTCCGTCTCGAATCATTTCGAGTAGACCCCAAATTGTACCGTCGACTATTTTAGTGTTCGTGCGGGCGGCGCTTAACGATGAAGTTTGCCGTGCAGCTTCGCCGTAGGGCACAGTGAAAGAGTCACGAATCCTGAAGCCCTCGAGCAGCAATCTTTGGCTACCGTTTGCCCAAGTTTCAATTTCCAAATCCATTCGCCTGTTCGTGGAAGTCCTTCATTTCCCTAGAAAATCATGACAGATAATCACAGCCACTGGAGAAGAAAACTATATAGAATGCAGTTGAGCTTGACGATGATTGAAGCCAGACAATTCATACATTCTTCTCGATATTTCATTTCACCCGAGCTAGCAACCATGAGAGTATTTCATGTTATCCGAGCAATTGTTTTTGCGTTCTCACATACATCTGTGCTACTCGTAGCCAGTCAAGATGTACCCTCTCAGAGTCCTCCTCCATTCCCAGTTCCTGCAAACAGCAGCAGCACCGTGCCTCCTGGGAGTGGGACTGGAGTGTTATCGAGTTCCTTTTCGTCCACGACTCTCATAGGAATGGAGTCGACCCATACTTCAAGCACCGGAGTAACGGAAAGTTCATCGACTTCTAATAGCAACATTGCACCACCGGAGACTAGTACCGACTCTCTGTCTTCAGTCGACACAAGTCTCACGCCGACCGATTCAGCAACGATCAGCGACAGCTCGTCTTCGTCGGACTCTCCCACTCCATCAGAAGCCACGTCAAGTGGATACTCCACAAGCTCCACTTCGGGCACCGGAACTATCACAGATGGTCATTCAAGCACCGACTCAATCATTCTTCCTCCTGAGCCTACAGACACCCCTTTCAGCACCGATGGAGTCATCCTTCCATCAGGGATCACCCTGCCACCAGACCCAAGCACAACACTTCTTCCAACAGGTATGGTTTTGGGGTGCAGATAGCATCAATACCTCTTCATGTTTGAATCGTTCCCAATGAGAAGCCCAAATGCTGACTTCACTCCTTCACTGATAGGTACTGAGATTCAGTCCAGTGCTTCGGACATGTCCATTATCATCGCAGGCATATTCCCTCTCATACGAAGTTGGATTGGTGATCCTCAGCCCCCTCAGGTCACTAGTGTAACAGACGAGCTGGACAATATCCTCCCAAAAGTCTCCGATTTCTTAGGCAAACTTCCGAAACCAACAGATGGAGTTGAGCCATGCAAGTCTGGAGCGAGACGACGAGCTGAAGAAGCATTTCAAGGAATACAGACATTGAACAAGCGAAGTTTCCTTGGAGGCTTATTCAAGACTGCATTCTCCCTTGTGACTTGCGTCATTAACACGACCAACAAAGTTAAAGAAGAAGTTATGCGAGGGACTACCGACGCAGTAAAAAATTTACAGAACGATCTCATACCCCTGGTAGATGCTCTCAATGAGGTGGACCCGAACGAGCCTGACCCCTCTGCATCAAATTCCGACCAACCAAGTTCGACACAAACGGAGTCCTCATCGTCATCTTCATGCACTCTCAATACAGTTAGTAACTGTAATATTGCATGTACCGCCATTGCCACTACTACTGTTGGAGGAGTGAGGAGACAAGCGAACGGCGAAGCGTGTACCACTGTTTGCGACGCTCCTATAACGAAATGTGGTGCTACTGGCGTTACGTCTGCGTCAACGACAATATCCACAACGACCGCCGTTCGAAAATGCGCCAAAGGCTGCTCTGGTTGTAACGCTCCCATACCACCACCGGAGCCTATCACTGAAGGTGACTACATGACCGACACCAATGGCATAGCCTACGCTCCCGCACCAACGGTATCGGCACTATCTACATACTCCGACTTGGCGGCACGTAATATCGCACCCCGAGAGACTGGCCCATCAAGCCGCAATCTTTACAAGCGCACCCTTACTAACCCTCGCGATGATCCGTGGCATGGAGATGTTAGCAAATGGCTACTTGCAATGGTAAAACAACCAGGTACCAAGCGCCTTGAACACGGTAACTATCCGGGATGGTTCACAACCTCTATAACGGATCGACTGCTTGACGACAGAAATAGCTGGAGCTTGGGCGACATGAACGGATGTACCGCCGTCGTTGTCGTTTCCCGCAAGAGAATATTCATGGCGCACATTTGGGAAAATCCCACGATGGATAACACTGATAACAACTTTCAACGGGATGCTCTTGACGCTCTAAGGAATCTAGCCGGTGATGGCAAGGGTGTTAGCCAAGGTGTAAGCGCGTTTACCGGCCCGGGCGGAGATTTCGAGAACATCGTCGAAAACCGTGTACGAGCAATGGTCAGTAAGTAATATCGCCGTTCACATACCACATGGGAGACACTCCGCTAACTGTGACTCAGTCACTCCGAACAAGCCAGGACAAAACGAGCTGCAGTATCCGTATCAAGTCAGGCTGATTAGCGACATGTTGAAAAGCGTCCTTGGCTTATCCGACATCCTGCCCGTGCTCCCGATTCCCTACTGGGCCAGAGACGAAGATCTCCTATGGCAATACCCCCGCGGAAAACTTCTTATCCAATACGATCCGGTCCAAGCGATGCAGCAGACACCAGGCCAGACCTGCCCGACACAAGTTGCGGGGCTTGAGGTATGGTTTGAGGAACTCTATTCGTCTCCTCGCCATGGCGATACCTGGCCAGCTTTCCCAAATCAGCTTGTAGCTGCACAACCAGGGCCTTCAAGGCGCTTCATTCGAGGAAGGCAAGTAACGGACGCAGACGAGGAAGAGTGGCAAGAGTATGAGAACGTCCTGAGACGCCAGAACGGAGTTTGCGCCAGACCTTCTGGGACGCTGTCTGGCTCGTCAATCGCCCAAGATCCAACCACATTACAGACCTCGCTCGTAACTACTTCAGATGGTGGGCACAGCTCTGGTACTCCTTCAACGCCCGGCGAGCCGGTCCCTAACACTACAATCGACCAGCCACCTACGATGACGGACGAACCTCCAACAAGTACCGACGTACCTGAACCCGATCCAACACCAAGCCCGCCGCCAAAGTCCAAAGCACTATCGATCGTCCTGAGCGCCTTCAGGAATGAGACGACGGGCGAGGACTACAACTCGTGGGTCTTCTTTGAAACAAAAATTCGTGAACCAGCGGAGGTATGCGGTAATGCTACCCTCGATGATCGAAATACACGATGGACTGACGACAACGCAATCATCAAACCTCCGTGGCCGCACGGAACTTTCACTATGACGCTGTACGGTGAAGACAACTGTCAGTATCTGAACGATGGCAACGGTGCTGGTATACTTCATTGTCCGAGCTTTGGTGACGGCAATAACGTGAGCTGTCAGGAGGAGCCAGAGAAGAGCCAGGTGTCGGAGATCACACAGTGCATCTATTCACAGACAGTCTCCATAGCGGTCCATCGAGTTACTTATTGTGAGTGGTGAAGTGAAAGTTCTTCAGTGGCGATGACTAGACAGAGTGGTTCGTTTAGCATCCGGTGAAGTCACACTGTAGGTTCGGTGTAAAGGCGTTTAGCAGGAATAGAAATGTCTAGGACCCATCAATTGGCTATCTAAATAGTCTTGATAATGCCCAACTTCAGAGTTGAGAGGCGTTACTGTGAACAGCCAACCTTGTCTATCCGTGATTATGTACCGTATCCGTCGTCTATGCGCCAGGTAGGAACCCTATTTTATCGGGTAATACCCCATGACTCCGAGAATATATTCCTGAAGGCTATATGTTCAGGTGGTTGGTACTGGGATGATATGCAGAGTAAGGCCACATGCGGCGGTCAATTACTTTCCTTACCTGCACACAGCGTCACGTTTAGAACGACATGCTCCGACTCGTACCGCTCTGCTGCACCTGTTGCAGTTAGTGTCGTACCCGCCGGAGCCGCTTAAATAGCTTACGAGAGTTCAAACAGCCGCCGGAGGGTGCCCATGTCGCAAGCTAGGCATTCTGTCGATATCAGCATCCAAAATCCAGACGAGAGTCAGCCTTTACTCGGGACACCAAGGCATAGAAGCGAGGGAATATGAGATGGTATTTCTTCCGTAGATTATTGCGGACTCGCTGCTCCATGTGCCCTGCAGCTAGCTAACTCTATGACCATCCTCGATCCCATTCCAATAAAGGGAATAGGCGGCGACATCGCCCCTTCTCACGCTATTGAACTTTTGAAGGCCGAAATGGAGAAGAGGAAAGAAGAGGACCGGGGTATATAGGAAAATGGGGAAGAGAAAAGGTTGCGCACCGTGATACACTGCCGATGCGAAGATGAACCGACGGAGAAGAGAACCACTGCTATTCACCGATTGTAGCTGCTATAGTCGAATTTGACTTAGTCCGCTTAACAGTTCGCGGTGATGTAGCGGGCTTAGTAGCTGGGCCTGCCCGCTTGTTGGGACCCGGCAGCTAGCGTGCAAGCTCGTCGGCGGACGTATCTGATTCCGAGATATTGCTGGGCCCTCGCTGTCCGAGGGAAGGCATTCGTGCCGGCGAAGAAGGCATCGCCGAAAAGCGTTGGTTAGCTGTCCGAATTGCGGCCTCCCTCACTTCCTTAGTCCACAGAATTGCATTACGGAAAGCGGTCAGACCCTTTTGGCATGTTTCCGCATCGCCGATAAGCGCATAAGCGTTAAGTCGTGTGGTGACATAGGTAACAGCCGCACCGTGGCCAACTGGGGGAAGCATATGGGTTCCATATAGAGTTAACGCCCCGCTGATGTATGTGGAAGAGATAGCTTTGATGCGATTATCGAATACGGTCTGATCTATGCCGAAGGACTCTAGAGCTTGGATGGCCCTAGCTCCGAGCGCAGCGTCATAGATAGCTTGCCTACGAGCAACAGCAGGCGTGCAGTCCTCTCCTTTGGCAGCGAGAAAGAAATTTGGAGCTGCTGGAAGGCTAGTCTGTGTAGACGGTTCGATAAGGTCCGATAGTTGTTCCCGGATCCGGCGATTTATCTGCTCGGGACGGGCCCCGTAGTATAGATCGGAAACGGCCGCGGTAAGTTTGACATCGATGAGATCCTTGAAGTTGAAGAACGTTATTCTTCCGCCGCGGTACCTCCTGTCCAGTATAGTCCCTTCTAGCCAGCCGAGAACCGCGTCGGACGTGCCGCTTTCTTTGAAACTGTCGACAACGTCCTGCTGGAACTTTACGAAGTCGTCTTCGCCAAACGACGATAGTGAAGCGTGCGGTTGTCTCAGCCGTTCCTTGACCTCCTGGACATTGTGCGCCTGCTGGGGGCTTCTGCCGTCCGGATATTTGTATAGCGGACCAAATACGCAATGGTCTGTGAGACTCTGCTCAAAATTCTTGTCGTATAGGCTGCTTCTTCCGGACGATTTAGTCTGCGGTTGAGAAGGTCGTTGAGACGAGCGGTAGTCCTGTGCAGACGATCTGGACTGCGATCGGGAGGCGCGCGAAGAGGGGCGGCGAAACCATGGTGAAACCATTGAGGGATCGGGGTACCGCACGTAATTAGCGGTGTACGGGAAGCATAGAGGATAACTTACGCTTCGCACGTCTGTTAAGTCGGGGCCGCCGTGTCTTGCGAACCGCCGGATAGCGCTGTCGGAAGTTGCAAGGGAACCGACACTGATGTCGATCGTAGGCGCAGGCTGCAACGCTGGCGAGTTCCTTCGGTCGAGCTCGCGGAGTGCTGAAGGGGTAAGCCAGATGCGCGACAGCGAGTCCCAGAAGGGACTGTGGCGCCTTTTGGAATGAGGGTTGACGTCGCCGGAAGCGGGTGAGCGAGATCGTTTACGAGCGCGCGAAGACTCGGGCGTAAGCATAGGTGCAGAGGCACAGAATGTGTGTCGCACAGGTGGGGCTGCGAGAGGCTTCAGTGTTGTGTGGGTGAAGGTGTAGGCAAAGGCAGGTGCACGTCGCGGGTTCGGTCTGACAATTATCCGCCTGTCACGTGAGATCTACACGACCTTTGTGTAGTAATCCCTTAGCGATACTAGACATTACTTAGTTATGTAATACTAAAAGCTCTACTAAATATATATAACGTACTTTATCATCGAACCCCCCATATCATCGAACCCCCCACGATTTCTTGGCAACGAAAATCAACGAAAACTAACCCGTTTTTCTTAAATAACTAGGCGAAACCTTAATATTTTTCTATAAAAATTTATATATATATTCTTTATAGTATATTACACCTTATAGTAAAGTTACACTAAGATATATTACGTAATTAAAAAGCTATACGTATTTAACTAACTTTTAGAAAAAATCTAGTTTACTTCTAGTTAGTACTATTATATCTCTATAATAATCTATAAAACTTATAGTATATAGTAT